TCGCGATGTTTTCTTTCACTGCCTATCTGTGGTGTCTAAATAGTCTTATAAAGTACATATGACACGAGAGGCGAGCCTTTAACTACTAAGCCACTACGACTATTAATTCAAAATGAAATATAACAATCATTTGTACATGTAGAAATTGTTTAATATTATATTAAAATACGGTAACATTCAATAAAACGCTAGTTTGTATCGTTCAGCGTCAACTCTGACATTTAATTTCCTCCCTGTTAAATTGAGTGTATCAAACTCCCGCCAGGTTCACGTGAACATATAAATAATGTTTATATTGGAATATGTCACTGAACATATATTTATATATTATGCTTTAATATATTATCTGAACAAATAGTGATGTTTAAATTACATTAGAAGTCGCTCTCACCCAAAGTTGAAGTGCCAAGTTATAAACACTTGGAAGGCTTCAGAGGGAGCCGATCGTATAATCGATAACTTCTGAAGGCTTCACGTCGTTAACTCTATATATATACGTTCTTTGATAAATACCACGTAGGTACATACAAATTATACTGAGTTATACACGAGAATATCGTTTACTACGTCGATATTAGTATGAACTGAGATGTATAACATTGTCTGGAACGCAAGAGATGTCCAGGAAACATTTAGCATCATCCATAGTTGAAATGGCCTTTCAAAATCGTATCAAGCGAACCGCAGCAAGGCTCGTATGTAAAGTGCCTTGTATTATGTAAATAGCGAGTTTCTTTGCCCTCACCGTTCAAAGACAAATGGTTTCGCGTCAGCTTCTATTTATCATGTTTACAGCTGGCGCCATTTTGTAAGTTATATTTCAGAGGTCAAAGTTTATTTGCCATACAAAGCCGATGGCCACGCCTTTCGAGTGTAACGGCATACGAGCTTCTATGGAAATACCTTTGTGATGTTTTTATCGCTTTTACATGAAAATTGAATATGAAATATTTGAAATATTTTTAGTTTTCTGTATAGCTTTCTTAACAATTTTTAAATTTATATCATATTAAGTCTACAGATTATAAACATCAAACGAAACTCAGTTTTAAATCTACAAATTTTTAACCGAAAAACTTGTTTTATAACTTAGCGAATACTAACGTCGAATGCGGATGTAAGTTTGTAAATTTCTTAAGAAATGCGAGCTGGGAAACTTTATTTGAGTTAATTAAAACTTTATTAAAATCGTATTGAATTTTAAGTGGCGCGGATGTGACAAAGTTACCTCTGAGAGCTCCTTACATAACGCTTCACTGTGAGACTCCTGAGTAGTTGGCTCAACGCGGATTTACATACATTTGCATGAACTCTAAACCCTTTTAAATTCACTAGTAACACATATCAGTACTCGATAACTGAAACGAACTGATTCAAATAAAACTAATATATGTATGTTTAGACAAATTCTTCATTAAAATTAAGTCTATATAATAGAAACATTTAATTTTTTTCAACAATATTTTTAGGTTAGTATATTTCTTATTTTATAAAAATAAAACATATGATTAATTTAAGAGTCAGCGGTAGTCTAGTGGTTAAAAGGCTCGCCTCTCATGCATGAGGGCACGGGTCCGATCCTGGCCCTGGCAAGTACCAAAGTGATTTTTCCGAGTCATACGTACTTGCTAAGAGTATTTAGACATCACTGATTAATGCATTCCCAAAAGAGGATTGATGTCAGGCAGGCGGCCGGTCGTAAAAACAATTAGCCAAAACTATTCACAACATGTAAGGCAGACCCTGGCTAAAGCTGGGAAATTGCCAGGCAGAAGAAGAAGAGAAAATAAGTATATGATTAATTTGCAAACATAACTTAAATAACCTTTTATTAGCAACACAAAATAATCATCAAATATCATATCTTATTATTTATTTTCAACCTATAACCCGTCGAATTCAATATTAATATACCATTATAGGATACATGAACTTTTCATGAGTGAATCTAACGTCCACGTCTCTACTTATACTTAAACAAAGGATCCATTAAACAAAGGTTCCGTATAACAAAACTATACTTAATTGCCAAACAAAGAGAGTATATAATTTGGTTCCAACAATATTATTTGAATAGCTCGTATTTCAATCTCAAATAGTTTTAAGTGATGTATGGTTCATTCTGCGGTGCAGTTAAGTGCAAAGTCTAGTACTGATGGAAGCTTCTAGATAACTACAACATATACTGTACTTAACTGTTTAAAGTATTCTGAAAGTATTAAATAGATTTTTAGCTAAGTCTAGACGAGCGTAGGTTTAAGAGGTTACTTAAACTTTATGGGGCTGTTAGTAGAGTGCTTTATGGGATTCGTGCTTGGAAGCGGGCTAATCGATTTTATTATCGGCTACCATACAGTTGCTTTAAAGAACGTATAAAAGAAATATTATAAGTATACATATAGGAAGATATTATATTGTAAATGCAAACAGTATGATGCATACACAATTTTACGAGGCCAATAGAAAATTGAGTTTACTTGAAGAGCCTTGCATTATAATAAGAATATGGTTATAAAGATCTTGTATTATGTAATATGTATATATATGTGTGTGTGTGTGTGTGTGTAATCATTTGTTCTGTTCGATTCATGTAAAAATATCCTAATTAATATTATTTAAATCATTATATCTTTATTATTAATGAGAGAATGATTTCTGAAGTTATTCTATATACATTATAAATTCGTTAATTATTTTATCAATATTAAAATACATCAACTGTAAATATTATTGTATAATAATATTTACAGTTAAAACTAATTAAACGAACCCGTATTTTAAATATGATTATGAGTTACTCGCTGTCCTAAATCTACATTTGTTTTTGAGAGAGATATTTTTGTTTTTATAAAGTATCTTTATTGAACTTCAAATATTTAAAATTTTAAATGTTTTATAGTAAAAATGTTTTTTCTCATATTACCTTAAATTAGATTTTGTGTTTAGATATTTAATATCCGTTTATTTTTATACAAGGTGATATCAGCGACAGAAAATTTATGAAAAGGTTACATACACTTGTTATTTTAAATTTACAAGACGTTTAAAAATAGACTAAAAGGTTATTATAGAAAAAGCTTTAAGGTAACTTATCGAGCATGTATAAAAAAAATTAAATTATTATAAATATGACGCGGTTTTTGCTATCAAAACTAAATCTCTTCCATTTTATTAGCAAGCCGTTGTATTTTTAAATGATAAATATTTTAAACCTAGGTCATTTAAAGCAATCTCAACTTAGTTGAAACACGCTCGACATAAATATGCATACGAAGGTTTCAAAGCTGGTAGCAATTTAGTTACAAGTCAGAAGCAAATCAGAGTTAGTTTCAATGTTAAATATATGTTAATTTTGAGGGACATTAAACGCTTCCACTCGCAAGTTGAGGAACTTGTAAGACTCTTTGGTGTTGGACTTTTTAGGGATAATAGTCAGTGTGACATTTTACTTTTAAGTCGTTCAATCTTTTTAGTATTTTGTCATTTGCATAACAATAGGCTTATGTTTATATTGTAGGTAAGGTTTTTGTGATTGTGGTTTAAAAAAATCAAGTAAATAAATTTCGTTAATCCAGAATAATTGTGATTTGTGATAGTAAGCAAATATCGTTGTACATATTTACATCAGATTCTTTCTAGACCTCTTCAAATCTTTATGTTATTAAAAAACGTGAATAATTCAATATTACTTTAATTTCAACTGATGTATACGAAAAATAAAGTATTTCAGCCGTAACTAAACTCTATGAGAAAACTATACGCAACAGTATATTATAATGAAAGCGTATCTCTTAGTGATACTCAGTAACAAGTTATGTAGAATACTCCACCAGCGAGAACTCGGAGTACTAACAATAATCTAAAGTTAGAAACTTAGACCTGCTTTTACAGAATATGTTACATTAGTAAGGAGTGTTCGAGAACAATCGATATTAAGTTCCATGATTCAGTTATACAATAAAGTAACAAGTCTTAGGAATGACATGAAATATAAATGAATTTATAACTATACATTTATTATAATAATTTTGGTTTTATTTAATACACGGAAAAGTAATGAGATTTAAGACTTTCGCGAGTTTTATTCATTTAAATGAAACTTATATTTTTCGGATATACTATTCGTTTGCCGTCTTTTCGCTTGTGATCACGGTTGCTGAAAAGTAGCCGAAACGTCAGGATTCGGGAGTATGTTGTTTTTCACAAAAATAAACTTCGTAGTATATCCGAATAATATTAGTTTCATTGAAATACACGGAAAAGATTTCTATCTGTTATAAAATGTAATATAATTTTGGTTTCGTCGAAAACTCCGTGAGCCAGTCGTATATTCTATTGTCGTGATATGAAAATATATTATTATTAATGATCCACTCGGTGTATTCAGTACCCGGATCAGAGCTGTTCGTCTGACAGAAGGGTAGGAATCTCTTATAAGGTTGAGTGATATGGGGAAATGGACATGGGTCCACAATGGAATTAAATTGATTAAATTCCCGATGAGATATTTAATCAACATTTTCAGTAAATACTCACGCTATTGGCATCAAGTATATGTGATAAATATGTCTTAAAGCTATGTTTTGTCTATAAATATTTAGTTTTTTGTATGATATTAAATATACTTTAAATTTTAACATCATTAATGAAGTGAAAGGTTTTAAATTCGTATGTCATTTAACTGCTAAGTTAATCTTATTTCTCAAACTGTTCCTTTATACATCTTAAATACATTTGATCATGGAATAATACATGTGAAACATATTTACTACATTTGTATTATAATTCTAAAACAATTTCAAAGTTTTTCATATATTTGAAAACATCTATTTATAGAGTACAGTAAACAATGAATATTAAGAGCCTGTTTAAATATTAAATATCGCAGTTATTTGTTTCACCTTAAGCAATGGAAGCGTCAGTTTGTACGGAGTGCACTTTATTTAATTAAGTCAAAGGAATGTTGTGAATAACGAAGCGGGAAGTTCGTAATTAGCGCATTGGAGGAAAGTCGGCACGAGGACCCGGTGCTGCTCGCTTTGAGAACAAGGATTGTTACAATTATCACATGCAACTTGAACGACGTACGTAAATAATTAAGAGAAATACAGGATTGAACATGCTTTTATATAGACTTATCATGGTGTTGGGTACAGCCTTATAAAACCTTCTTTCTTAAAGTTGAAGTTATTACAAAATACTGAATCATAATCTTCAACCAGACGCTATAATTTGTCAATCTGTTTTATACTACTTTACAAAAAATCTACAGAACTTTTTAAAAAGAAATAAAGTAAATACAAAGCCGTGGTATTATATAAACATATGATTAATTTAATCCAAATATTCAGTAATAATGTCCTACATAAAAAAACATTTATCTATCAAGAAAAACTCAAAAGAATACTGCACCATCAATACATAAATTAGAATTTAGATTAAACGATAATAAGAGAAAATATCTATACCAAAATAACGTTTGAAAAAGTATCAATTGTAACACAAATAGCTTTTTGTTCGTAAGTAGGATGACAGCGATCAAACATTCAAGGGATGTAGCCGAATAAAAAGGATAAAATGACGGCCTTACCTTACCTTTCCTTACCTTAGTAAATACAGTTTAAAAGTTAAAAGATATAGAAGCTTTTTTGTTGAACCAACAATACAGGATCGCTTCTAACGTTTTAAGTACGTTCAAATGTATTGTTAATACATATATAATACAATATGACATATATGTTTAATAATATATCGTAAAAATTTGAAAATGTCTTTTTTTAGTTATGCATTCCTTACTATTACATTTTATAGAAATTTAAATAACAAAAATTAAAAAAAAAATCTTTAATTATCTTCATTGTTATACAAAACAAGAAAAGTATTAATTATTACAAAAAAAGTCAGCTTATCAACAAAGCTTTCATATTTTTATAAAGTAAATGTTAGTCTGTAATGATTTTTAATAACAAAGGGTTTTAAACAATCGTACAAAATACAAAAGTTAATTTCGGGAATAGTAGAGTACTTTAAATCTTTTCAATTCGCTTTCATTGTTCCTATAAGGTTCGTTCAATAAAATACTACATTTAAAAAATGAAATGAAATAAATTCAATATGAAATTCTTAATATAATTTGTATATTAAATCTGTTTAAAGATTCGTCTCAATTCGTCAAGGGTTCACTGACCTGGTATAATTCCAGGAAAGTGGAAATAGTAAAGCCAGACGTCTAGACAACATAATATTATGCTCTTATCTGGCAACTAAAAGCTATAAATAATATCCATTAACTGCTGGTACATTTTCACAAAATTTGATCATACATTTATGATAGCCTCATGCTATCAGCTCCAATATTAATATTTAATACACATACAAACATAATCCGATCAATTATATTTATAATGGAATATTCTTTCATATAGAAAAATATAATTATCGTAGAAAAAGGCGGAATAATACTATACTTCTATATACGAGACAAAAGTTTTTTAACCATAAGTAGAAATCTACATCATTGGCCTTTTCATCTATTACAGATGATTTGGTTTATGAGAGTGTGTGATTATAATAGACACTTTCGTTGGTGGCTATGCAGACCGATTCTGGATCGGCAAGACCGGCCGCATCTGGAACAGGCGCATAACGCAGCGGATGCGCCTGCTGGCATGTTATTGCTGTCCTGCTGTTTGGCTCTTTTGGTGGCGAGTTTTTCGAACCACGCTGTGTCGTGTAGCTTGACCCCGTGTGCAATCCGAAGCTTCCATCGATCCCTGTCCTCCGCGAGTTTCTCCCATTCCCTATTCTCGATACCAAAGGAAGTGAGATCTCGCTTAACACAATCTTTAAAGCGTAGCAACGGACGTCCTACATGTCTCTTGGCATTCGCTACAGCACCCAGAAAGACCTTTCTAGGTAGTCTAGAAGCATCCATACGGTGCACATGTCCCACCCAGCGCAAACGACGTTGTTTAAGGAGGGCGCTGAGACTAGGCAGTTGTGCTTTCGCTAGAATTGCTTCATTTGTGATCCTGTCCTTCCACGTAACTCCCAAGATATTGCGCACACAACGCATGTGAAAAGCGTTAAGCCTGTACTCTTGTTTTGCATACGATGTCCAGGTCTCTGCTCCGTACAAGAGTATGCTCAAGATACACGCTTGGTAAACAAGTATTTTAGTTCGGACAGTAAGGTGGTTGTTGTCCCATACTCTTGTTCTAAGCTTCCCGAACATGGTCGCCGCTTTACCGATGCGTATATCGATCTCCGCACTAAGCGACAGATTGCTCGTTACGGTCGAACCGAGGTAGCAAAACTTACTTACTACGTCCAAGGGAACACCGTGCAGCAGTATGACTGGTTTTTCAGCAAATCCTTGGGCGAATATTAGAGTCTTCTTAGCATTGATGGACATTGAAAATAGATTGCACGCATGAGAGAATTTATCCATCATGGTTTGAAGTTCATAAGAAGACGTGGCAATAAAGGCGGCATCATCAGCAAAAAGAAGACTATCCGCGAACAGATCTACCCGATTGCGCTTTGACTTTAAGAGAGCAATATTGAAGAGTTTCCCGTCAATCCGTGTGTGCAGATGCACACCCTGCTGTTTGTCACCAAAGGCTACTTTTAAAAGCAACGAAAAGAAAATGCCGAACAGAGTAGGTGCCAGTACGCAACCCTGTCGCACGCCTCTGCGCATGTCAAATGGTTCCGACATTTTTCCGTCAAAAACGGCAGATCCTTTCGTTTCTTCGTGGAATGATCTAATGAGTTTGAGCAGCTTTGGAGGACACCCAACTATTTCGAGTAACTCAAACAGTCCCTCTCTGCTCACGGTATCGAAAGCCTTATTTAAATCTACAAAGGCTATGATGAGCGGCGTCTGCTGCTCCCTGCACTTCTCCTGGATCTGACGTAATGTAAAAATCATATCGGTGGTTGATCGCCCGGCCCGGAACCCACATTGAGCCTCAGGATAAACGCGATTGGCAAGACATTGTAGTTTACTAAGAATCACTCGACCTATTAGTTTACCAACGACGCTCAGAAGGGATATGCCGCGATATGAGTTGCAATCACCGCGGTCACCTTTCCCTTTGTAAAGGGTGATGATATTGGCGTCACGCATATCCTGAGGTACCGTCCCCTCGGCCCAGCACTTTATTAAGAGAGTATGCAGAAGCGGAGCAATAAAATCTAATTTAAGCAGCTCAGGGTAGATGTAATCTCGTCCAGGACTTTTGCCACATTTTAGTTGTTTCATGGCGGTTTGAAACTGCTCTGCTGTAGGGTCATCGTCTAGCTCATACCAGGTGGGTAATTTTGGAATTAAATTTTTAATTTGTGGCTCAATACTGATTGGCTGCGAGTAGAGTCCAGTGTAGTGTTCGACCCATCTTTGCATTTGTCGATTACTGTCTCTGATGACAGTACCATCAAGTTCTTTTAGTGGAGCAATCTTTTTAGGAATAGGGCCGAGTGCTTTTTTAATTCCACCGTAAACACCGCTGAAATCACCTGAGTCTGCACACCGCTGAATAGCTGAAGAGAGATCACGCCAGTATCTGTTCGCATAGAAGCGTGAGCTGCGCTGTAGACCTGACTTGGCCTCTGTAAGTACTTTAAGAGTGGATGAAGATGGGTCTAAGCGGTGGTTAAGGGCAGCAAGTCGTTTTGAGTCGAGCAATGGTTGTAGGTGCTCTATATTTTGTGAAAACCAGTCCTCAGTATTCGCTGTTCGATACCCGAAAGCTTTGCCTGCAGACTCCGTAAGAATTTCTTTGACACGATCCCATTCCTCCTGCAGTGGTGCGTTCTGGTCCCAAGACAAGGTCTTTGAGCATACCAACTCCTTAAAGGATTCAACTTTTTTGCCAATCCTGATTTGACTTAAATCAATTTTCTTGTTTCCAGGAGGTTTAGACGAATAGATTCCTTTGCGAACCATTGCTGTTTTTGTCACTACAAGAGAGTGGTCCGTGTCACAGTCAGCGCTCTGATATGTACGTGTATGAAGGACAGAGCGAATGTCTTTCCTTCGCGTTAGGATCAGATCCAGTTGATGCCAGTGACCCGAACGTGGATGCTTCCATGAAACTTTATGCATAAATTTGCCTTTAAAGTATGTGTTGGTAACACATATTTTGTGATTTGAACAAAACTCCAGCAAACGCTGTCCATTCTCGTTCATTTTACCGACACCATGGTTACCAAGGCAATCTGGCCAAGCGACGTTATCTTGACCGACTCTGGCATTAAAGTCACCCAGGATGTAAAGGTGATCACTAGTAGGTACCGCACCAATGGTTTGTGTGAGTTGATCATAAAACCGATCTTTGACTTCCGATGTTGTGCCCAAAGTTGGTGCATATGCACAGATCAAGGTAACGAAGCCACAGTTACTCAAGAGGCGAAGAACCATTATGCGCTCTGATATTCCTTGTGGTGTTTGTATCGATGAGAGTAAGTCGTTGCGCACAGCAAAACCCACGCCATGCTCGCGGTGTTCTTGCTGATCCTTGCCTACCCAGAAAAAAGTATAATAACTTTCTTTTATAAATCCGTTGTCTGGAAGCCTCGTTTCTTGCAGGGCCGAAATTGAGATGTTGAGTCTCGCCAATTCAGTATCAATTACAGAAGTTTTGCGCAGATCTTGTGCACAGCCTGTACCTCCGCAGGTATCCGGAAGGCCTGTCCTCATTGTTCGGACATTCCATGTTGCTAAGCGCATGGAGAAGTATGTTTGTTTTTTATTGGTTTTATCTTTCTTCTGTTTTTGTGCAGGTGAATAATTTACAGCATAGACTGTCTAGATTTAACCTAGTATTTCCTACACCCATTGGAAATAGGTCAATGCTGAGACGGACCAATACCTTATTGGCCGGGGGCTGCCCAGCTAAAGCGGGCGGTAATTGGTCAATGGACCTACGATGGGCCCTCCCACTGTCAAGAATGACCCCTAGCGCCCACGCTTACGCCTATTAACGCAGACTTATAACTGGTAACTGCCATTCTTCGTGTTAGTTTCACCGCTGATGGACTGCGATGGCGGAGTGTCCTCTCCACAGATGTTCACTCTGAAGCCTGGGATACTATTTAGGAAATGTAGGTTTTCCCACCTTCCTACATTTCCCTCTCGACCTCGCCAGCTAAGCCCACAGGAGTGAAGAGTCACTACGTGTGGAACTGGTTTGGTTGCAGGAACTGGCTCGTGCCTAACGGAGATTCCAATCCGGGTTTATTTCGAGTTTTCCTTCTCTGATGATGGCCTTACAAGTTTAAAACTGCAAAATACGGCCAACATCCAGTACCGCAGTCGCCTCTTACGACACCTGGTACTTGAGGGTGGCACTATTCTCCTCTGCCGATGCCACACGGCCATCTACATACATATATTTATTTACTTATCTTAATTAATGTAATATTAAATATATATTAAATTAATATTATACTACAGTAAAAGTTCAAATGAATTACCATTACGGGTTACATTTATTTACACATCAAACAAATTTACCAATTCATTAAACGTAAAATTTAATTAATTTAATGAGATAAAATTAACAGTAACATTATTGAGATTTTGACAGTATGCATATGTGTATTGTTTTTATTGTCTTTGATCATTGTTATTAATTAAAAGGATACAAAAGAACAGGGCTTGTGAATATACCATTTAACAATTGATTTTAAATATGCAAATTAATTATATTATGTTTATAACAAATTCAGATAGTAGGTAGTAAAATAATGTTTGTGACAGTTGTCAGTCTACATTGAAGCAGTAAAGTGTATGCCACAAGTTCATTGTTTTATTTCATTATTACTCATAAATATAACATTTTGGCGACGAATTAGCAATCCACGCATTAAATGTTGTATTGTTTATATAATTTTTCCGAGTCGTATGTACTTTCTGAGAATATTTAGACACCACTGACAGATGGTGAAGAAAAACATCATGAAGAAACATGGACTTATAATTTCTAATTATAAGTTTGAAGTCATCAACCCGTCTTGAGCAAGCGTGGTGATTAATGCTCAAATCTTCTCAATGTGAGAAGTGGCCTTTGCTCAGCAGTGGGCTCTGATAGGCTGATGATGATGATAATGATGTTTGTTTTATTGCCACAGGCGACAAGCGGTGCTGAGCCGCAAGTTGCTGTGCTATGCGAGGCTGGCGCCACCTACCACCCTCAGTACATGTCAGCCGCAGGAAGATGGACCCCCGACCTCACCACGAAGCCCCACAACTGCTTGAAGGATAAAATGGAAATACTGGACTATTGCAAGAAGGTAAGACAGAAATTACCCTTTACATTAAACCAAGAACGCAAAAACTACCGTCATATTATGGCATTAAAAATACTAGTATAATTTCAAGATATGAATTATAACACTCAAACTGGGATTAAAAGATAAATTTTGTTAAGCCCGAATAGTTTATCTAACTTTACGACAATAGAAAAATTTTGCTAACAAGACGTGGAGGGACAATGGAATTCAGTAAACTTCGCTACATTTCATGGACAATGTTGAATTGGATTAAGAGAACTAAGTTTCAGTAAAAAACAACAGTTCAGTCAGTGTTTTCGATAAATTCTAGAACTGATAACGTTTTTTAAGACAGATATTGACTTAACGGAGTAGCTTCATTAGTCTGTTGAAGTTGTTAAACTTGCAACTTAACCCTGATAATGTCTTTTAACAAACAAGTGGCCCTTTGGCTGTATTTATTTAGGATTTGTGGACACGAGATAACTTAATTATTGCTGTTAAACTTGATAGGACAGGAGGAAAAGGGGGAGAGGGTAGCTTGGAATATTTCTTTATTTGTATTTTAAATTTCGTTAGGTTTACCCGAGCCACGATATCACCAACATCGTTGAAGCGTCCCACTACGTGAAGGTCAGCAACTGGTGTAAGCTGGGAACCAACAATGCCGCTAAATGCAAGGTCACTAGATGGGTCAAGCCATTCCGTTGTCTCGGTACGCACTTTTAATAATATTACGTTAATTTCTTATTCTAAATTTGACATTTTTGGATCAAATTCCCTAACAAAATCGTAACAGTCCAACGAACTATAAATTATGTATAAACATTAATATTAATTATTAAATTATTTGTATTTTATTGATATACAATAAATAGTCCAGTTGTGCATACAACGAAAATATATCTACCTACCGTTACACCGAAATTCACATTTTATTAGTAATCATCGCCTTTATGCAAAACATATTATTTACCTCATAAGATATTCAGAATGATTCTAAAACAAAAAATTCGCACCGAAAATCAAAAAAAAATACAGATATATGTACATTTCCTTTAACTACAAAGACAATTTGGTGGTAGAAGGTCCATTCCAATCGGATGCGCTGCTCGTGCCCGAGAGCTGTCTGTTCGACCACATCCACAACCAGAGCCGATGCTGGCAGTTCTCTCGCTGGAACGCCACCGCCGGCCGCGCGTGCGCACAAAGAGGACTACGGCTCAGAACCTTCGCGATGCTCCTACCTTGCGGCATCAGCCTGTTCTCTGGAGTCGAATTCGTATGCTGCCCTAAACATTTTAAGGGTATGCTGGATATGTCTTAGAGTTTACTTAACAGTCAAATTAAGAACATATTAGTTTATATTTATTCTGTTGGTGTTTCAGAAAACGTGAAAATGCATAAGCCAATGGATGTAGGTGTGCCAGTTAGCCCTGGTGGTGAAGAAATGCTTGCAGCCTCCGCCGCTATGGACGAGCGAGATGATGATCTCCTTGATGATGAAGACACCCTCACTGATGATGATGACGACACCCTCAACCTTAGCGATGATGATGATGACGATGACGCTGATGACGGTATACCGCATTGAAATTCCATTTTTATCAAGTTACAGTTGAAGTATCAAATACGTAATACTTCCAAATATCCATCTTCGTGACTATCACAAAATTACCGATCAATGATTACTACTACTACAATCTATTACTTTAGAATTTACATGTACTACAGAGAGGAAAATCAGAAACATAATTGGACAAGCTATTGATATACTTCAGTTAAACTTTCGAATATTTATACTTACAAGAATATTATAGCTGTTTAAGAATACATTAGTAAATAAATATGTAGGGACTGTGTCAAAATAGTAATATTTTCAGATATGGATGAAGATGAAGATGCTGACCTAACTCGCGATGATGACGCCGAAGATGATGACTACACGGACGGTGATGACTCCGGCTGGCCACGACCTGACTCCTCCGCCGCGCCCTCTACCACAACACCTACCACAACCACCACAACCACTACCACGCCGGTATGATGTTGATACATCCCACTTTTGTTTTATTTGACAATTGCTAGGACAATTAGATGAAAAACTCATGAAAGTGTAATTCAATGTATCTTAATTTATAAAACTAAATTACATATATTCAATATTATAGAAGATTATTGGCAATCGCAAAAACAGTGAAAATTCCATTCCAGATTATAGAACATGGTTTGGTCTTCATTACAAAAAAGTATCTTAGTAGATTTCCATATATATGTTAGGTATATACAGCAATGAAAAATAATGATACATTTTATATAGGCTTCCACCGCTACCTCCGACCCTTACTTCTCTCACTTCGACCCTCGCACCGAACACCAGAGCTACAAGGACGCACAGCAACGACTTGAGGAGACTCACCGGGAGAAGGTATGAGAATATTCATACTAATAACATGTAATTTTTCATTAAAGTCATTCTAAATATGTTGTTTCTTCAACAGATTACTAAAGTGATGCGTGACTGGTCTGAACTTGAAGACAGATATCAACAGATGATGACCTCCGACCCCGCTGCCGCTCAAAGCTTCCGACAACGCATGACCGCCAGATTCCAAGCTAACATTCAGGTGAATAAAACTTACAAGTAGATTATAAAACTTGATAATATCATTAATATGCCATACAAGTCACACTCATCACATTACACACTTATAGTCAGTTACAACAGCTCGAACATGGGCTGGCTCGACCGGTAAAGTACCACCCTGTCACAGAAAATCAGCGTGATGTAGATTTTAGTGTCTGCGTTTCGTCCGATGAGTGAGAGAGCCGGTTGGCTTTTCCCTATTCCCATCCTTTCCTGCTATTTCCTTATTCCCACCCTTCAATTTTCCTCAACCATCAATATTCAGTCAGTGGTGGCCTAGTGGTTAAGGGGCTCGCCTCTCGTTGCCGAGGGCGCGGGTTCAAACCTGGCAAGTACCAATGTGATTTTTCGGAGTCATATGTACTTTCTGAGAGTATTTAGACATAACTGACATACGGTGAAGGAAAACATCGTGAGGAAACCTGGACTTATAGTTTCACAATTATAAGTTTGAAATCACCAACCCGTCTTGAGCAAGCGTGGTGATTAATGCTCAAACCTTCTCCATGTGAGAAAGAGGCCTTTGCTCAGCAGTGGGCGTCTGATAGGCTGATGTTGAATCAATATTGGCAACGCATCCGTTACATCAATATTGCGGATGTCCATAGGCGTCGGTCACTACTGCCCAACAAATAGGCCGTCTTTGCCACCTTTAAAATAAAAAAAAATAATCTAAAAGTTGTGTCTTAATATGAGTTTTATGTTTCAGGCTCTTGAAGAAGACGGTGTATCTGAACGTCGCCGACTGGCAGCCCTTCATCAGCAGCGAGTTCTGGCTCACCTCGCACAAAGACGACGCACCGCCCTCTCGTGTTATACACGGTCCTTGAAAGACGCTCCTCCTAATGTAAGTTAATTAGGGGCCATCCATAAAATACGTCACACTAATTTCATGAGTTTTTGAGCCCTCCCCCGTCCTTGTCACAGGTGGTCACATTTCTGAGACCCCCCCCTCCCTAGTGTGACGTCACATGTTTTGCAATTTAACATCGAAAAATTATTAAATTAAAACAGCAGTTCCGAAATTAGTTTTATTTCCATTTAAAATAAGTACTTTTTTAAGAAATCAACATAGTATCAAATATTTGAAATAATAAATAAACTAATGAATATATACAGGGTGACTGGTGAGTTACTATCGATACTTGAGGACGTGATATTTGACGATTATATATGACAAAATAAAAATTAATATAACATAAATATTAATAAACTTCTAAGTAAAGTTAACCAAAACTTATGTAATTCATTACGCATCGTGTGAACAACCTACAGATTAGGTATACACACACACACACACACACACGCGCGCGTTTGGCGGCGTGTTGTTGTATCAGCACGCCGCCGCACGCGTCCACACTTGGAACACTTGGAACGTGTCCTCACTTTATTTATTTATACGGAAATTTAGTCAAAAATTAAGTACCTATTTTTTACATAATTCGAATGAGAATCATGTACCGAGTATTCTCCTTAAATACTGATAGTAATTCACCAGTCACCCTGTATATATAAGTATATGTGATGACGCGCTCAGTTTTAAAGATTTTAATTAATATTTCAAATTACGCGATTAGTAGCTCTAGATTTTGAAATGTGATGTCACGAAACTTAGGAGCCCTCCCACCCCTTGTCACACCATGTCACACTTTGTCGACCCCCTCCCACCCCCTTTACGTGTGACGTACTTTATGGATGGCCCCTTATTAGTATTAGTAGACCATACAAACGGAAATCTGTTAATAAAATCTGGATATTTTCAGAAACATAAAAGTATTCCTTATTCTAGGTTGTATATAGAAAGACTAAATCATCTTTTATGAACACAAAAACGGTGATCAAAATGAATAATTCAACAGTCGTCCCAAAACAGCAAAAAAATGTAAAATTTCAACTCCTAATACACATGAATATGATCAATTTGATCTATTGTATTTTTCAAACAACTTTCATATGACGCCGACATATAAATGCTTATAAAGACTGACCAATTTGTCCAGGCCCATCGTGTCCAGAAGTGTCTTCAGCGTTTGGTCCGCGCCCTCGCCGCTGAGAGGTCAGGAGCGCTGGCCGCCTGGCGTCGAGCTGCTGCTGCTGGAAGGGAAGCTGCTGCCGCTGAACGAGCGAGTGCTGCAGACAGACTGCAGGTATATACAAGGAGTTTACAAATAGTCCAAGAGTGTATAGAGTTTCAAGCCCATAGTCTCATCCTACTAATATTATAATTGCGAAATTTTGTGAATGTGTCTGTTGTTTGTTACTTATTCACGCTCAAACTGCTGAACCGATTTTGATAAAATTTTGTATATAGGAAGCTGACGTCCAGGAATAACACGTAGCCAACTTTACATCCCGGAAATCCGCGGGTAACACCGCGGGGTGCAGCTACTTTCTAATAAAGTCCACTGATAACACTATCAAAACATTAAACTAAAATAGTATAAAGATTTACTTTGATATTTCAACTATAAAATTGTCTTTCATTGCTACCTTCAAAAGCGTTATAAATCACCGACTTTATGATCGTTCATCCATGCGTAGTGTGTCCCATGAAATTTATTAGCTAAGTACAACTACAACTTGCAATTATCATAGAAATTTAAGAAAATTTGTATAATTCCATGGTATTGCATAGAATTAGTATAAATATCATTTTTTTCTTGTAGGACGCCGACCGCGCTCTCCAACGTGCGTTAACATCTCTCCGCCGTCGGCCGCACCTGTACGCTAGCATCGGAACAGCTATCGAAGATTATGTGCAGGTTTGTAGAAACTTATTTAAATAAACAACAAAATAAGCATTCACTGCTGTAACTTCTTTACAAATACATACTATTATTATGTTATCTATCAACTTCAACAGCTTATCTTACGGTTATGGTTTCCTCAAACATTTTTACAAGACCCTAGGGTATCACTGTATTATTACAATATAATAACTCTTCACAAATTGGTTTAATACGACCTCCAAAGTTTCGATGCTTCTGACTATCACTTTCTTAATACAATATGACAGGCTCAAAAAGACTCGTATCCAGAGCCTTAAAAACATTTAATTAAAAACAAATACAATGTAACTTTTCACGAATAATTCAAACTAAATATTGTTTATTCAGTCGATGCAGTCCAAGGACGATATGGCCGTCTCCCTGATGTCAATGACCCCGGAGGCTGAGGAGCTTCTTCTGGACCGCATCGAAGCCGAGGTTCAAAGAGAGCAGGCGGCGCGGGAACAACTGAACGCTAAAAGAGACCAAAGGACCAGGCAGAGACAGGACATTGAAAACGAACGGGTCAGGGTGAGTGAGATTATAGTTAGAGTGACGTCACAAACAAAATACAGTCCCTAATACATAGTAACGGAATATATATCCATCCCTTTCAGACTTCCAATGGTGTGAAAGAGAGCGAAGAGGCTGATGACGAAGCCAGCGAAGTTAGCGACACCGAGGACACCACCACAGTGTCTACGACGCAGAGCTCCCCCTCCCCCTCCCCGTCCCCCTCGCCGCCGGCCACGCCCACCGTGCATGACGTCACCACCAGATCAGCCTTCACCCAGGAGACCACAACCACGGTAAGAGAATTAACAATAAATGTCCCTCAAGTTGAAGTATAAATGTATAGGTGGATTATATTGGTTTTTATTTGTGCTTAGGAGATCATGACAAGTACAATGACGGACGTTCCCGAAATAGACACGGAGACAAGCGACGTGGTTGAAACTACCAGCAGGCGAGCTACTAGCGAGGTGAGAGGATTGATGGATACATTATAATATAAAAAGGCCCAAATTTGTCTCATATGTTACACTACCTCATCTTTCTTTTGATAAGTCCTTTAACTTTATGTTATCCAATACAAAATCAGTATTACTTGCTTTCAATTCGATATTCAAATCGCAAAAACATACTGTAAAATAGAATTAAAGAGAAATTAAAATGTTATTATTGATGTATAGAAAAAATTGCCTTAGAAATTATAATATTTTATATTTTGTCCAGTCCGAGGGGTTAGGGCTTCGCGCGGCGTTGGAACAGGCCGAGGAGCGCGCGCCCCCGCCGCCCGCACACGCCCTCAAACACGAACTACAACACTCACAACCTGTACGTTATACTTATACTAATATTGGTTATACTTGGGTAGAGAGAGGAGCTTGAACAGTTTAGGTGAGCGTATAACGCGCGTCAGATAGGGACTTAAACCTACACCTTGGTCGCAAGTCCCAGGCACTGTTGAAGCTCCTCTCACTACAATAAACCCGTACGGTGAATCCATTGAATGCTAAGAAGTTTCATCTATTTATACTCTCAACTATCTCCTATATGCAATATATGTATGTATTTGATCGATAGTCGTTATAACTATTTATTTAAAAACTCACAAGACAAAATGGTAAAAGGTAGCTTAGATTCTATTTGCTTGATACTTTGTGTGCTAAATTCATCGTTATATGTATGTGTAGCTCATGGTCCCAATATAACAATAAATGCAAAACAAAACACATATGTTACACCAATTATTGTCGATCTGTTTCCGTGTATATTGACTATACTAATATTTTGTCCAATCCAGGGCTATACAATCCGCGGTCCGTCTCCCTCCCCTGGTTCGGGAGCTCTCTACCCGGCCCTGTGTGTCGGAGGAGCAGCGCTAGCGGCCGCAGCGGCTGTGGCCCTCGCTGTAGCACGACGACGTGATCGAGCTCCCTCCGCTCAAGGATTCGTACAGGTTGGTATAACACACTCACATCTCATACCAATGATCACGGTTGATGAAATAACCGAAACGTGGGGAGTATGCAGTTTTTAGGAGTTAGCCGTGAATGATTGATGTTAAAGTTTTTCATCGTCTAGGTTACTTTATTTTAATATAATCATATTTATTCAGTGATGTAAGCATCTGTTTGGACCTCTAACTGCTCTATATTCACAGTAAATTAATATTTTCGAAACTTAACTCAAAATAAAATAAATGGCTGAAGCTTCTCAGAGAAGTTACCATTACATTGAATATAATATATGTATATTGTTCGTATTATTATTTATGAATGTGTAGTGTATATTTGTTGTACTCCAGGTGGAGCAGACCGGCGCCGTGGCTCCGACTCCTGAAGAGCGACACGTCGCCAACATGCAGATCAATGGTTACGAGAACCCAACCTACAAATACTTCGAGGTCAAGGAGTAAATGCCGTCTCCCTCCCACCTACCACCAGGCCTGCCTTCCTCTCTCTTTCTCACTTCAGGAAAAGTAGGCAATGGCAAGTGCTTAGGGATTATCGATTTCATTGACATTCCGCTTGCCGAGTCCCTTAGGTCTTTTTGAGACGCGACAGCACAACTAGGCATCTAGTGTAAAAAATAAAAACAACGCCATCTAGTTTTGTACGTAATAAATAGCTTATGACTGAAAACAGCGCCATCTAGTTTGAAGCATAATAACTATCTACGACTAGGATCAACGCCATCTAGTACATGACTAACATATTAATATGTTACTCTAAAGGACGTTGTAAGGGACGGCATAACTTTTCAATATTTGTTATCGATCGTGTTGTGTGCTAGTTACCCCATCCCCCGTAGTAAGGGTCTTACCCTCTCCCTATATATATGTCCTTGAGTAATTAATTCTTTATGGAATGAATGTGTGTGACGATTTATCGTATCTATTTATGAATTGCAATGCAAGCCTGGTGGTTCTTAATATTCATAATTAATAATAAAGCTTGTGTGATTAGTCGAGATATTTTTTTGCGAGTTTTCGCAATCAGTCAACCTTTACCTAAATCAGATTAGAGTTTATATTGTTTTGTATGTTATATTTTATGTTTGCACCAAAATATTTATTTGTATTTTAAGTGTAGCTCTAAGTTTCGTCTAGTGTCATAGAAGTCATAAGTGTCACCTTGTAGTCGAGTTGTTTAATTAAGTTGTCAAACCCGCATCCCGAGTGGTAAGGTACAGTGAACATCTATCATTCTCTCTCCCTCCCTCATTCTCTCTCTCTCTCTCTCTATGTTTTCTTTCTTCTTCTCTCCTGTCTTCTTCTTCTCTCTCTCTCTCTCCTGTCTCATGATAATGAGTCACTCTACGTTATCACTTCATTATTATTCCTCATACTTCACGTCCCTGTACGTTGCCACTGGGGCGAGTGGAACAAACGTCCATGTACGCTGTGTATTTAAGCTCCGCGTACGAATTTGAACCTAAATTTACTTACTCTTAATGCCCGCTTTCTTTTTCTAACGTAGATAGAACTAAACGTGAATTTTATGTAATAAAATGCGAAAATATATTTTAATAATTATGTGTACTTAGCGAGGGACGGGCGGCATAGCCGGCGCGGGTAAACTCTTAGCCTGTAGCGTTCTTCTAGTCAGACATATTTTCGATCTGAATCCTCGTCTATGTTTTCTGTTTACCCGCGGGACAATACTCATAGTTCCCTGTAAGGATGGACCGCGTACTCGACGTGCGTTAGCGAGGATCACTCCCAAGTCCCACAGAGGGGTTACAGCAAGTTTTGTATTATCTAGTCAGAAGTATCGTAATGAATCCGTTCAGCGCGCACTTTGGGTACAAGGTAATGCCAGCAGTAAGCTTAGTGGGTGTATGTACGGTTATTATATAAGTAGATGTACAAAAGTAATACAATATATAGATGTTTTAGCGTCAGATACATAGTTATAAAGCAAAATATTATTATATATCGCATTCGTCCGTTTAATGTAAGGGCTTGCGCTCATGTCTATCCCACGTACCACACTTAATGTTACGCCGTAGATAAGATGTAATTCTGCCTCAGTATTATATACATTTAAGCTTATTCGTTACATAAGCTAATTATATACACTAATTCTATTCGTTTACGGGCGTTGTGACATCGCTACGTTAATGAAGTCATATCAGATGTATCACGGCGCTTGGACTTTTATTACGACGCGACGAGACGTTCTCTTAGTTCGTAAAGGTGATAAGAGATGGCAGCACTCGCCGGTGTCGTAATAAAAGTTTCCAACCCGCGCCCGCCCGTGGCTTGTACGGCATTCTTGTAAGTTTAACCACTGTATAACTTAACTTTTATCCTGCATCAAGTAACCGCTGTATTTTTACTAATAACTAAGTAACAAGCCGACCAGTTATTTTTTTTTTTTTTTAACAAACTTTTTGCTCAAACTCAGCTGTCTGTCATCGGTATAACTCTGTAATCGATGTTTTAATATATTGAATGTAAGCAGTATTCGATGTTAGTAGATATAATCCCGGTTTCTGTAATTCGAGATCACTATTTCACGTATTTTCAAAATATAATAAATGGTTTGAAGTCTTTTGTGTTTCCTGTGCTACATTTCATTGTGAGTTTGAAGTTCAAATTGATTCAATAAATAGGAATATTAAAATTGGTGTTGTTACTGGCGCACGCCGAATCCTTTTTAGTTATACATTTAACATATAATTACCTAACATGTACATACAAGAAATATATTTATTAAAATTATGATATAATAATAGATAAAATTGAACTGAACTGAAAAATAAAGAGATAATTTAAAAATCCGTACAACTAAGTTGAATCTGCAAAACAAAGGTTTGTTGCCCAACAACGTCTGGGTGCGCCACCCCGCCCTTTACACGGGGTGAGGTGCTCAGACGGCGGAACACCAGTCTTTCTCTGTCTTTTCTTTCTTTTTATAGTTTACTCTTCTCTTTGTTTTTATATCGTATATATTCTATCTTTCAACGTCTTTCTTCTCTGTCTTTCTGATATTTATTTCTTGTGCGTGATGTATGTGTGCGGATGGAAGGGCTTATACGGCCCCTAATCCCCGGATTGTGGTGCCCGGCCTTGGGATGAATGGCGAGCGGGTGGCTCGTCCCGAGGGCACCAGGGCGGCCCTGCCTTTATAGGGCCAAAAATTTAATGGCGTCGGTTAAAAATAGTGATAAACTACCCCAGGAGGGTCCCAGCCCCAAAGAGGCTGGGGAATCCCTCACCGACTCGTCGGTCTGCCCCACGTATTCTGGGGGGGGCAACCAACGCCGAGAGGGTTCCTCTTCAAGGGACCCTCGCAGAGGTGCAGTGGGCACCAATGACCATGGCCAGATTAAAGGATCCGATTTGCTCAACGACAATGGGAAGTTGGTGGCTAGTCTCGAACGTGCGAGTACGTCGAGGACAACGCGGTCCAGTGTGCGTCAGTCCTCCTCCTATATGTTCCATATGTTCCATACAAGATAAAATGTACCAAAAAGGGTCAAAGATCAAATCAGATTCTTAACATATAAAGTTATATTACAGACTCTTATTCTTATTTAATATTTCAAAACTTTGCATGTCTATGAAGTTACCAAAGATGACTGCTAGCTACCAAATAATAACAAAAAATAAGCACTGAAACTTTTTAGGGTAACGAGTAAACCAAATAATTCCACCAATTCCTTAATTCACATTAGGTTATATAATTTCGGTATTCATTAGCTGCTAAGAAGTTTAACACTAGAAACAATAAAATATAAAGGAGACGAATTATCATGTCACAATTATTATTATGACATACTGTTAGAAAATAATAAAGTAAGTCTTCTGTAGGAGAAATTTTGACAGACAGATGAAGTGATTTTATTAATTTTAGCTCAAACTACGGAAGTAAAATGTAAGATAATAATGATATATTTGTTAAGGACATTTAAATTTAATTAATTATTTATGATTGGGGAGAATTTACTCACATGGAGGCTTGAAAAGATAAATAATGTAACGAAGCCTTGCATTCCTACACCTTTTTTTTGCAACGAATGCTCAATTTCTTATTAACGAGGTATACATAATATGGATATTTTTCTAGTCCTACTTCATTTTTGTTCATAAGTTTCTCAATATCAGATGTTAGCATAGTGTAAGGTAATATCATGAGAGCATGATATTGTATGATTCCTTTCCTATATGGGTATGATAATTTAGCAATAAGTAAGTAAATGTTCCTCCTTTTATATCTTCTTATACCTGGCAATTTCCCAGCTTTAGCCAGGGTCTGCCTTGCATGTTGTGAATAGTTTTGGCTACTTATTTTTACAACCGACCGCCTGCCTGACATAAACCCTCTTTGGGAATGCATTAATCAGTAATGTCTAAACACTCTCAGAAAGTACATATGACTCAGAAAAATCACATTGGTACTTGCCAGGATTGAACCCGCGCCCTCATGCATGAGAGGCGGTTCTTGTAACCACTAGGCTACCACTGACTCCATATCCACTTATGTTCTACTTTTTATTAATTAAGAATTATACATTTTTGCGATTCTTGAATAAAAACTCCAAAAAAGAGATTTGAAACTTGTGCAGAAATTTGGTGGTAAGAAAGAAAAAGAGCTTATGAAAGAAAAAAAAACGGAATCGATTGCCAACGACGCGACTTATCACATGAACAGATTTTTTTTAAATTGAGATACCTATATTGAACGGAACGAGGGGAAAAATGTGTCATCATTATTGTTAATTTATATTCCACTTTAAATTGTTATAGATTAAAATATATAATAACGTAATAAATTAATAATAAACCAGAGTACGCCTTTTAAGAAACTTAAAAGCAAACAAATAATAATAGTAAAATGAAACCCATAAGAAAAGGAGGAGAGTATTATAAAAATTAAAGGAAAAATAATTTACGAGCGATCTGAGGCCGGGAAGGGTATGCAGTACCATCTTTGGATAAAATAATCCCTTTTAATGAAATGACACTCGATGTCATTTTGAAAACGCTCTGTCAATTTATTTTAAATAGTTTAGTACAATGTAAATTTTCTGTAAATAAAATAAAAGAGGGATTTTCAGATATTCCTGACTACACAACTTACTACTGCGAGTAAGAAGCTTATATTTTTTCTCCACTAACAGAAAATAGCGATTTCAACGAACAGTAACACATCAACTTTTAGAAAAAAGCTGATATTTTGGCGGGTGAATTTTAGATTGAAAATTGGGGTATTTTTTCGATATTAATTTGAAATAAGCTGAAAAAATAAATATTTCGAATCTTAAATAAGTTATAGCTCATTTACCCACCCATACCTTCCCGACCTCAGATTGCCCGTAAATATTTTTCCATTTATTTTTAAAATACTCCCCTCCATTTCAAATAGGTTTTACCCTACTATATTTTTTTTTATTTTAAAAATTATCGAC